TTGCGGGGCCTTTTTGGATTCCGGGTCCTTGTTGCGACCGCCCCTCTGGTTTTCGGCACCCTTTTGATTTTCGGCGCCGTCTTGTTTTTCGGCGCACCTTTGGTTTTCGGCGGCCGTTTGGTTATCGGCGTTCTTTGGTTTTCGGCGCCCCTTTGGGTTTCGGCGCCCTCCCTTTTGGTTTTCGGCGCCCCTGTGGTTTTCGGCGCCCTCTTGGTGTTCGGCGCCTCTTGAGTGTTCGGCGACCTTGTGGTGTTCGGCGCTTTTTTGGTTTTCGACGCTCATTTTGTTTCTGGTGCCCTTTAAGTTTTCGGCGCTCCTTTGGTTTTCGGCGCCCTTTTGGTGTTCGGCGCATCTTTGGTTGTCGGCGCCCCTTTGGATTTCGGCGCCCCTTTTGTTTTCAGCGCACCATGGGTTATCGGTGTCTTTTTGTTTGTCGGTGCCTCTATGGTTTTCGGCGCCTCATTTGTTTTCGGCGCTTTGGTGTTTTCGGTCTCTCTTTTGGGTTTCAGTATCCTTTGGGTTGTCGGCGCCCCTTTAATTCCGGCGTCCAGTTGGTTTTCGGCGCACATTTGGTGTTCGGCGTTCCTTTGGTTGTCAGCGCCTTTGTGGTTTTCGGCGCCGTCTTGGTTTTGTCGGACCTCTTTCGGTTTTCAGCGTTTCTGTGTGTTTTCGGCGCTCTTTCGCTTTTCGGCGCCCCTTTGGTTTTCGGCGCTCTTTTTGGTGGCGGTCCTTTGATGTTTGGCGCTCGTTTGGTTTTTGGCGCATCGTTGGATTTCGGCGCCCTTTTGGTTGACGGCGCCTCTGGAAGGGTGAAGAAGGGGGGGGGGGGGGGAGCAGCTTCCGAGGGGTCAAAGGGGTAGGGGAGGGGGGGGCTTCGGCAGGGGAGGTCCAGGGGGGGGAATGTGCGAGGGGCGCGCCCTCTCTCGTGGAGAGATCGGTTGTGAGTTCTCTCGTGGGATGGATAGCAAGTCGGATCGATTGATAGTGATCTCCATAAACAGATATACAGATAAGTAGATCACGAGACCGTTCGATGAGGAGTGAGATCGGTAAATATTGAGATCGATGGGGCGTTGGGTCGATAGTGAGATCAATCGGTCGACGTATCGATCTATCGGCAGATATATTGATAGCGATATCAATAAACCGATCGCGTGACCGATAGGTACTGAGACCGATAGAAGGTGTTCGATGGATGGAGACGGTTGTCCCGATGGTTGCCGCGTCGTTGGTTCCACCGCATCCAACCTCTTTATCGGCCGGCGGCCGGCCCCACAGGTGTATCATATGCCCATCGGTATCATTGTCTGCCGGTCCCACTGTCTATGCATCGATAGCATTGTCAATATGCCTATCGATGTCAATGTCCACCCGTCGGGCCAGCCAACCGGACAACATCGGGACAACCATTGGGGCAACCATTGGGACAACCAGTGGGACAACCAGTGGGACAACCATCGGAACAACCATCGGGACAACCATCGGGAGAACCATCTGGACAACCATGAGGACAACTACTGGGACAACCATGGGACTAACAATCAGACCACCAGGCAGGACAACGGGGAGCAACCAGGAAATGCACGGATTTGGGGCGAATTTGTTTGCAATGATTTGGCCCTAACTACAGTAACGCCGCCACATGGTCCAATGTCGCATAGCAGCAGAAATTATGTGATCGGTGGTTGCACTATGTGACACAGTGGCCGAACACATTGCGCTTCCGATGTCCATGCCCACTTCAGCACGAGGAGGAGAAGGTGGGAAAAGAGGAGGAGGAGAAGGAGGAGGAGGAGGAAGAGGGGGACAAAAAGTACGTTTAGGATGGAAACGGGCCATGCCCACGCCCGATGCCGGGCAAGTTGCAGAGTTGTCTCCTGATACGCGTGTAAGATGCCAGGTCGAACCAGGGGCGGTGCAAAGACCCCGCAGGCGACGCTTGTCCACAGCCGCGCCGACACTGGCCCCAACCCAGGAGGACGTCCAAGCGAAGGACGCCCCCGAATTTGCCAAATCATCCACGGTGTGAGGACATATCAGGCGAAACCGTGCCCAATCCAGGCCAGACCAGGGCCAAAGCAGGCAAATTGTGAGGACGTCTCAGGCGAAACCAGGCCCAGACCAAGGCCAAACCAGGCAAATGGTGAGGACGTCACAAGCGAAACCGGACCCAAACCATGCCAAACGGGGCCCAAACCAGGCAAATTGTGAGGACGTCTCAGGCGAAACCCGGACCCAAACCAGGGCCAAACCAGGCAAATGGTGAGGATGTCTCAGGCGAAACCCGACCCACAGCAGGCTAAACCATGCAAATTGTGAGGACGTCTCAGGCGAAACCACGTCAAACAAGGCAAATTGCGCGGACGTCTCATGCGAAAAACCGGACCCAAACCAGGCCAAATCGGGGCCCAAACCAGGCAAATTGCAAGGATGGTTCAGGTGGGTCGCGCCGCCCAACCAGGCCGAACGATGCCAAACCAGGTCAAACCATGGCCCAAACCAGTCAAACTTTGAGGACGTCCCAAACAAAATTCCATCTACTCTCCTTAACAAGTGGCACGCGTGCTCTGGCTCTTGCACATATGAGGAGAGAAGGAGGGGAGGAGACGCAGGTGGGGGGATCAAGGAAGCGCGGAGGAGGAGGAGGAGGAGGAGGAAGAGGAGAAGGGGCTGGTGGGGCCAGGGCGCCCCAGTGCTGAATCAGCGGTTGTCGATTGGGACCTGCTCAAATTAGTTTTTGTTGGCAGCTGAGGCGCGATAGATTTTCGAGGCTGGGCCAAGTGGGGAGGCTGGGTCCAGGGACAGGGCCAGCGGGGCGAGGGGGGCTGGGGCAACGACCAGGGGGGTAGGCTGGGTCCAGTGCCAAGACCAGGGGGTCGAGGGCGGCTGGGGCCAGGTCAGGGGGGGAGGCTGGCTCCAGGGCCAGAATCAGGACCAGGGGGACGACGACGAACGAGAATAAAGGGTCCGGCGCGAGGGGGGCTGGGTCCAGGGCCAAGGCCAGGGGTACGACGACGAGCGAATATGAAGGGTCCAGGGAGAGGGGGGCTGGGGCCAGGGCCAGGGGAGGACGCTGGGTCCAAGGACAGGACCAGGGTGGCGACGACGAGGGGGTCTGGGTCGAGGACCAGGGTGAAGGCTGGGTCGAGGGCCAGGACCAGGGGGACGACGACAAACGAAAATAAAGGGTTCGGGGCGAGGGGGGCTGGGGCCAGGGCCAGGTGAGGAGGCTGGGTCCGGGGCCAGGTGCCGTGCCGAAGCAAAGCAGTCGGGGCGGAGGGGGCGCGTTGGCTGGCGGGGCCGGTGCCGTGCCAAAATCAGGCTGTCGGGGCGGAGGGGGTGCGCTGGCTGGTGGGACCAGCGCAGGCTGCGCTGGTGGCCGGAAGCAAAGCAGTCGGGGCGGAGGGGGCGCGTTGGCTGGCGGGGCCGGTGCCGTGCCAAAATCAGGCTGTCGGGGCGGAGGGGGTGCGCTGGCTGGTGGGACCAGCGCTGAGGGGGGGCTCTGGCTGGCGGGCTGGCTGCGCTGGCTGGCGGGGGAAGGATGCGGAGGGCGGGGGGGCTGCTTCGGCATGGCTGCTTTAGAAAGTGGATGCGGAGGGGGCGCGCTGTGAGGCGCGGGCCGAGGGGCTGCAGCGACCGGTACCGTGCCGAAATAAAATGGTCGGAGTTCTTAGACACCCTGTGCAAGAGAATAAAAGAAGTCAGGGCGGATGGACCGCGCTGGCTGGTGTTTGGGGGGATGTGGAGGGGGCGCG